GAAGGCAAAATGAAATCTGTCCTCCACTCTAGCTGTGACATCACACACTCTAAAATCTGAAGAAGGCCTCTTTACCAAGGTCTGAACAACTTTTAATATCTCTAAAAGTAAGAATCAGATTCAAAAGTTGTGTTACACGAATAATGTCAGAAAGATGTGTAACATTTTAAAGATGGAATGAAGTTTCTGAGTGAAAGTATGAAGGAGCAGTTAGCAGTAGAAGAAGGAGCAGTTAGCAGTTGAAGTTGCATGAAGATTGTTGAAGTCTGAAGATTTCTCCATTGACTTCCATGTTAAAAATGTGATGAATTATGGGATGTATCTCTGGAATTATGAAAGTTATGAATGAGAAAAGTAATAGCCATCGATTCCCGACCGAGCTGAACGTTTTGATGTTTGAACGGAGTTTCTACGATGTTTAATGTGGGAGAAGAAGCAGCGCAAAATAACTCGGCGGAATAATAAAGAATTTTGTGCGTAGCATAACAGATAGTTGGAATGCTGTGTCAGCATTCCCACTAAATAACAACATAGGCACATAGGTAAAGTGTAGTGGCTGTTGAAACAGGATTTTATTTATTATCAGTTGTAGGCCCCAGGCCTTCTCAAATTAAACAGATCAAAATAAAATCTATGCACATACAGGAGTTCTGCTGCCAGATCAGCACCTCATCACAACCCTTGGTGAGCATTACAATTTAAGTATTTTAAACAGAGGTGGGAAGTAACTAAGAACAATCATTTAAGTACTGTACTAACAATTTTGATATACTAGTAGTTCTACTTTGTACTTCTAACCCACTACAATTCAGAGGTAAATAGTGTACTTTTACCCCACACAATGTATTTAATACCTTTAGTTACTTTACAGATTTGGATTAATGATGTGAAATATAATCAAGTCTTAAATCAAACTTTAGTTACACCTGGAGTAAATTCACAAGCTACCCTGCAGTATACAAAGTCATTACATTACTTTACATTACATATCATTTAGCTGATGCTTTTTATCCAAAGCGACTGGTTTCCGACTCACCCTGACCGGGAAGTGGAGTGGAGACAGAAGTGTTGTGAGTTAATAAACTGGCAAAAACTGTTTTACAGTGGTTGGGCCAACAGATATGGTGAACCTGCCTCCCCAGGTTGCCCCTCACCTGGCTACTTCTCTAACCCCTCCCGGAGCAGCCCCCAAAGTTGCTCCCAAAAGTCTCCCCTGAAAGAAAGTATTTTTCAGAAATTTACAGTGAGACTTTCAGATCACCCTGACTGAAAAAAACGTATAGCACACACTCCCAGACATGTGACACCCAGTGGGCCTTTAACAACAAGCCCCCACTAAAAGACCTGCAGCAACCAGTGAGCATCTGAGAGTATCCCGGTTAAAGGACCCAGTTTGGCAGCTGGTGGCAGGAAAAAGGCGCAAAACCACATGTAAAAGGTACTAATTTACGTTTTAAATATAATAATATAATACAAATTCCATTCTTGTTGTTACAATTGTTGTGATTATATAATATAATCTTTTCATTGTATTTTTAAACTATAACTCCCCCATTGTCTTTTCTTTGTCTTTCAGATGCAATGCAATACGTTTTCTGGGATCAGTCAATCCAATATTAAAAAGAAAAAAGGAAATTAAGGTTTTAAGGTTTATGTTGGCACTTCAAGTGCCAGGAAATAAAATGCTGACATCTTGACATTGAGAAGAATAAAGTTGAAATGTTGTGTATCAATTTTGAACTTTGGAAAATAAATAATACTCATAGCGTTAGCACGTACACAGAAAGTTTACATTTATTCTTGACATTTCAGATTCATCTATGTCATGGAGAAAAACTAAATTCCCTGGACCCTAGTAGTACTCACAACAGAATAGTACAACAGGCCAAAGGAAATGTAATATTGGAAACCAAAACAGAACTAAAGGAGCAAAGACTTTTACTACAATTTTACCCACACTCTTTATCTTGAAAACGTCAATACTTTGAACGGTTTTAAGCATATATGATTCTGAAATGCTAACGTTAATCATTAAAGATAAAAGCACTTGTTATGATAATGTAACATCTTACTTTTCTTCCTGGTTTTGTCCATTTTGTTGACCTTCGTAGTTTCCCCGCTTTCACTATTCATGCTAAGCTAAGCTAACTTGTAGCATGCTCCACCTATTGATGTTTCTGGTGGCTGCCTGCCTCCGTTTCTCAGGAATACATAACACACAGAGACATAGACCGACTCACATACTTGCTAAACTTGGTAAGAGTCTGAGTGGAATAATGACTAATAATGATTCACTGGAAAGCAGTTGGAATTAATTTTGGTAGGTTTTGACAAGTCTAAAAAAAGTCTAGAGCCTTGCTAGCAGTTCTGTGAAGCTCATTGCTTTAAGCTAAATGATCATGTCAACAGGCTTACATGCATTAAGTGACAAGGCTGATATTTAGCATATATAGCATAGGCTATTCTGGTGCGATTTATGTATTAGTTGTGTTTGTTAGCATGTTTACAATTAGCTCAAGGTATAACTGAGGCTGATGGGAATGTCATCAGTTTTCCAGGTACATTTTTGATCTAATATGGTGCTTCAGGGATAGTCGGAGGACTAAGAATGACAATTAATCCTGAGAAGGTCATTTCCAATATAGGCTACTATGACATTTAACCCAATACAACAAAAGTCACCTTGAAAATAGATAAATAAGAAAAAACAACATTTATGATACTTAAAGAGTTTTGTTTAGCAAGATAAAACATCTTTACAATTGAACCTTTCCTTTAGGATTTTGTGATTCATGTGTTATGGCCAGAAGTAAAAATCAAACGTAAGACTACTGGTGCAACAACGTTTAGTAGTCTCCTAACAATTTTTTGGCAACATGTACAAACTCAAAAACGAACGAGTTGGGTATTTACTGACGTATTTAATGCTGTACAACAAAACGTAGCATATAGTAGACCTCCATTAGAATTTGTCATCTGGGAGCTACTGTATAATGCCCATACAAATGTTGTACAAATTCATATTTATATTTTGATATTTACTTTATTAGTAAACCTTTAGAAAATGTAATGACATACCATCTATTAAAAGATGTTTCAGTCTGGACAGATGTGGTTGATGTTGTCATCCCATGAGCAAAGTTGCTCCAAGGGACCATCTTTACCTTGCATGCACAGTAAACTATGTTTTTTGAATTAATTTCACCTGCTGAACACAAAGGGGTTGAGCAGAATGACACTACAGAGCATTTGTCATTATAATGAACCAAACTAAAGTAGAGGCCGCCCACTATCTGTGTCCGCAGCAGCTACAATACTGGAGCTGCTGGATGTCATGGCTGGATGTGGGTGAGTAATGGCTGATATGCTTCATCATTTCCAGCTTATCTGCCCACATCTCATTTTCTCAACCAGTTATAAATACTAATGAGAACAACATTTTGAAAAGGTCAGCCTACAAACCGGTGCTGCTTCTCATTATGTACCAGATACATTTCTGGTCATATCACAAAACAATTAGTAACTCACACCGAATTAACCAAATATGACTCTAGACAGCCTTTTAGAAAGGGCATATATGTCCAAAATGAGAAACATTGATTTATGTGCACTTTACTTTTTAGTACACTTTGTGTGAACGGACGTAACCTTGAAGGGAACTGACAGAAATATGGTCACAGCAGACGGATTGTGAGTGCAAGAGAGCGGGGAAGAGGTGGCCAGCTTTGGGAAGAAAAGGGGAGCGAGGGTGAGAAAGAGATTTATCGATCTTGGAAAGAGCTCAAAGACATGTCCCAATTCAGTGATTCAGAGATTTGGCTCACAGTCAGCAAGGTCGAGCTGGTGCTACTGCTGGTCAGAAGAATATGAAAGAGGACAGAAAGTCTTACATACCTCCAAACTTTTCTCTGAATTGGTACTTCAGGACTTACTTTGAACTGGTAATAAAACACTACATTTTATATTGATGCCAAGACCATCAGTGAGAACATTGGCTTTTTCTATTTGGTTCTCCTAATTCTTGTCATTGGTGCCGATATAGAATGTCAAATATGGCCCTTTAGTTTAACAGTTTTTCCCAACGACTATGTACTGGTATGACCCTGATAGTTGATTTGGCTTGCCCAACACATTCTAAAAACAACCTCTTCTTCAGATGATAACAGGACAAAGCTGACGCACAGTGAGAGCAACAGGACATCCGGGAGTCCATCTTATCAGGTGGATAACAGTAATTGTACTTGTACAATGACAAATTAAAGATCTTATCTTATAGCTCCCTGGAGCCAATCTATCCTTGCTAGGAACAGAACTTTCTTTGACTAGTTATCAAATGTTGATTATTCTCTTAGGAATAGGTACATAGTTAGGAGTGAGCAAGAGAACTTCAGAATTGGCTGGGCAGGAGCTGTATCACTTCGTTGCTGCAGCAAATGTCTTTTTCAATTCTCCGGCCGTCACTTCCAATAAACCTTCAGTGTCTGTTATTAGTTGGAGCTCTTCAGTGTTCTCCTTGTGTTTCGAGTCCATCGGTTTTATCACAGGTGCCCAGACCAATTTTGGTGAAATTAGATGCAATCCTACAGGATTACCAGAAACTTCTTCCGCTAAGACTTGCAGCGAGGCCTTAGGCAGTGAATAGCCCGCAACAGACAGACCCAGATCTGACTTTGCTGTCACCTTTGACCGACAATCGAACCTCAGACGAAAATATTGTGGGCTCCACGCCTAACAAGCTACCGTTTTTGTCCAAAGGGGCCGCCAAACTAAATTCTAAATGAATGTTCTTCATTCAATGGCGGCTATGTTTTTAAAGCACCAGAGACTATGTCTTAGCACCTGCACACAGTGAGATGTCTCCCACTAAGAAACAGTTTCACAGAATCAGAATCACAAATTGTTCTTCAATAATGTCATTGAACGGCTAAAATAGTATGAATAAAATCATGCGAAAATGTTATGCAATGCATCAAGCTTAATCAAACTATAAACGATGTATATTTACAGATGATGTGTCATGACAAGCACAGTTTTTAATTGTCTCAAAACATGTGTTAGCATATCCAGATAGACTTTTCCTCAAAAATCTTCATTGGGTGAACAGCAAAAATGACCACATTGGTGCCGAATGTGTCACAACTTCATAAACACAGACACAACCACAGTGTAACAAGCCCAGCGAATCAAGGAACCAAACTGACCAGCACACAGTATGCAACACGTACTAACAGAAAGCAGAGATCTTCGGAAAGGCGGAGCATGAAACACCACAGAGATTATACAGTCCAAGTTTTGAAAAGGGCCAAATTCTTATCTGAAATTACATGTTTTGGTCTTAAAAGCAGCAACAGAGCAAAACATACTTTCAGGCATGGAACATTTTCTCAGTTCACAGGAAGTAGCAAACCGGAACAGAAGAGTAGTAAGTGCTATGTCGATAATGTATTTTACTGATGTCACAATACATGATTGCATCTGTTTCCCATTGGGGTGGTGGATAAGTGCAATGCTGCTTTGTGCAGCCATGTTCCCACACAGTTTGGTTTTGAGTCCGTAATTAGATACAGTATACGGAGAACGTAAATGTACTTTCCTTTCAAATCAATTTGAGAAGTGTAGGCTTTGCTAATCATACATTTAGGCAAATAACATTACTAAAACTTACAATGTGGTAAACTATCTGCATTAGTTAATGGTTCAATATACAATATCAATTTTCAAAAATGTGACTTTCAACATAGTGAAGCAACTGAATTGAATGAAATAGCCTGTTAACTCATTCTCTAATACCACAGGAAGTTAGCATGCTAACATGTGGCATACAGTGTGTGCGGCCTGTCCAAAAACTGTTGCAAAAGTTCCCATTTTTCATTGTTCTTGAAGTTAACTTCCTGACCAGAAAAGTTCTGAAGGAGTTATTTTGCAAACACATTGGGAATTACGGAGGTTTCAAAATGGTTTTACTTTCTGGCGACTTGCATATTTACAGAGATAAATGTGGCACCGAGGCATAAGAGCGCCACTACACCGCCATCTCATCCCCTAAGCAGTCCGGTAGACTTTCTGCGTTCAGCACGTTTAAGAGTCGAGCAGCACCGTCAGCCCCCCCCACTGCATCCCCCTGCCCCAAACTGTCCCGGTCATCACTCTCATCTGTGTTCGACTCATACTCTGACCCGATACCTGACTCCCTGAACCGGAGCAGCTCCAGAGCTCCCAGGACCTGTTCCCCCAGCGGCGAGTAGTCGTCCGGGCCTCCGTCGCTGGGGGTATCCCCCGAGTCCTGGACCTGCTCCTGGCTGTCCGGCTGGCGGGAGGAGAAGCGGAAGCACTCAAGGCGAACTCCACTGCCGGGGAACCCCAGAGGGCTGGTGTCGGTGCACAGGGTGCCAGGAGAGCAGGCCCCGGGGAGGGAGGAGAACCAGGGGCTGTCAATAATCTGGACCTGGGATTGAGCTGCAAAAGAGCCCATCGATAAAGAAGAGCTGGGTGGTTTAGTGCGGAAAGTGATCTCCAGAAGACTGTCCTGGGAGCCCACTGAGGAAGGGGGAAAATATAAAATTAAGAATGTGTAAGATGAAACTACGAAAATATTTTTTTTTTTTTGGCTGATAACTTTCAGAAGTTTATCTCATTACGTACGGGATATTATTGTATCTTATACGTCGAAAATAAACAAAAAAACACTAGAAAAATAATACATCCAACATTTTCCGCAAATTATCCTTTTTAAACTTTGCCTCTCAGGGCTTCCATACGGAACAAAGCAGAGCGAGATTTAGTAGTTATCGTGTTAACAGAGATACAAGACATGAGAAGTGAGGTTTGAGCCAAGATGAGGAGATTACACGGACAGGGATAAAGTCTGTGCTGACAGGATTTAATAATTCATGACTATAAGGTAGCATATTGCCACTGGCTAAGTGCAGTAAAGAGAGAGCAGAGAGCAGTATCGAACCCGCTGAGAGCGCTGCCATTGGATAATTAATTGCGTGACAGAAGTGGATGAAAAAGGAGCCATGACGACAGGAAGGAAGCAGGGATTGAAAGTGGGAATAGGGAGGATTTTATGACAGAAATGATTGAGAGAGGAACAGTAATAGAGGAATATTTGATGCATCCAAACTAAATATTAGAGTAAAAATGTCCACTCACTAGATGTTAAGTGGCCCGCAGCTTTGAGCTCCAGCTCCTGTATCTGTTTGACCAGCAGGGAGATGTGTTGCAGCAGGTCGGTGTTCTGCAGCAGCAGCCTCTGCACCCTGGCCTGCGTTTCAGTCCGCTCACACACCTCCACCGACAGCTGGTCCTGCAGTAGATGGACCTGGATGGGCCAAAGCTCATATCGTTAAGAACATACATACCATCCTGTCAAGAGGAAACCTGCTTATTAAATTCCACAGTGGCTCAGAAGTTTGGATTTGACTCTGCCTTTTTCAGACAGTATTGGCTTCAAGGAAAGTCTCTCGTTTCTCCAAAGGGCATAATAGAAGAGACAGGCTGGAAGCGGCACATCAGCATTATGAATGAACTTCTGTCAGGAGATCGGCCGATGTCAAAAAGCACACTCTGAAAAATGGTTTTCTTTCAGATGTTCAAAGACCTTTAAACCACTGCTCGGGCATTTTTGATCTAAAGTTTTCAAAAGTCTATGTAGTGGTTTAGAGGAATGAAGGGTGAGAATTTAATCACCTTAAATATCTCGCCACATCCTATTTAGCACGGCACTGATTGAAAATGGAAGAAGCACATCACGTCACAACATTTATCAATTATCCTGATGAAGGGATTTTGATCTGCATCTTTACGTCATTTGACATTTGAATTGTTCCTTGGACTTAAAAACAAACATGCTCATAACATTATTTTAAATAGATTCTCGTTTATGATCAATTTGTTTTTAGCCAGACAACAAAGCTCCCAGTGAGGCAATTTCACTGTGATGGTCCTTGGTTGATCCACCACTTTGGTGAACAATGTCATCAACTAGAGGATGGATTGCCATGACATATGGTACAGAGATTTACATTTCCTCTTCCATTACTGGTGAACATGTTTGTATGTCCTTAGGATGACTTGACATTTAATCAATGTTGACATTATTTAATGTCAACATTTGCAAAAATGAATTTACGTAAAACTTTAAAGAGGCCCTATTATCCTCTCTATCACAACAGAGCCGGCCAGCTAACCAATCAGAGCAGACTGGGCTCTGGTTTCAGACAGAGGGTGAAAAGAGGTGCTGCAGCACAGGCTGTATGAGAACAATAAAGAGCTTTTTGAACATTAAAGCATGGAGACATGTCCCAGGGGAGGAATACAATACAAATATGAACCTGAAAATGAGCAATCTAGTTGGCCCAATATGAAAATGTGTATTTAAAAAACGTACATTTTTTTAACATATATTTAAACCTATATTAAGACTTTTGCCTTTAAACTCAACGCTAAAATACATATTTCCTCATTCATCTGCCTGGATGTATGTGAATAAGTCTTACGATGACTAAATTGTTTCCCCATGGAAACCACATAAACTGAGCTGATTTAATTGGTTTCTGAACTGCCTGAACTGTACACCTTTACACCAGTAGAGAACAGACGGATCAATGAAGAGAAGTCTGTTACCAACATCAGCTTCAAAGTGTCATTATCCGGTGCAGACGCAATGCGCCAGGCGACAGCTGCTCGCTGTCTGAAAACACCTTGAATCTTGTTGATCTATATGTAGCTGACATCCTCGTGGATTCATCTTCTTATTACAGACACATGCATTTCCTAACATTCGGTCTATATGCTGTAAAATGTATTATCTCTTCGATTTACACACGGCATCTATTGCACGTCTGTCCGTCCTGGGAGAGGGATCCCTCCTCTGTTGCTCTCCCTGAGGTTTCTCCCATGTTCCCTTTAAACTGTGGGTTTTCTCTGGAAGTTTTTCCTTGTACGATGTGAGGGTCTAAGGACAGAGGGTGTCGTATTGTCATACTGATATTCTGTACAAACTGTGCTGTTGTATTTGCTGTAAAGTGTCTCTACTGTAGGCTATTTTTATTATATGTACAGCACTTTGGCTCGACCAAAAATCGTTTATAAATGTGCTATATAAATAAAACTTGATTTGATTTGATTTGATATTGGGGTCCAATATGTTCTATGCTATAAATCAGGCTATGAATGATTCATAAACATCCTCCTATGTAAAAACCTCCAGAATATAGATTAGGAATGAAACCTGGTGTTTGGTGTATGTAATGCTCAGACTTTGAGAAAAAAATGATTTAAAAAAAAAACCCCACTTAAATAATAAATAAATCAAAGACACTAGTGAATAAGTGAATAAGCATAAAATACATTGTAACTGATAGCAACCATTAAACATCTTCAATTGATTATTGATATTTAGATATTTAGGGAATCATTTAATTACACATCTTCTGAAATGTTTTGTTTTCAAAATTTGAAAAAACATGTTTTACATGTATTATCTGGCCTGAATTTAGATAAAAGCCTCGATTAAATAAGAATGTAACAAACTGTAAGCACTTGAAAGGTAGTTACATGCCATAGCTGTGGTTCTACGGGGAACAAGACTGGCCCTCAGTACCTGCTCTGAGGCAGCCAGCGCCTGCTGCTCCTGCTGACGCAGCTGTTTCTGCAGCAGATGGACCTGGTGCTCCGAGGAGCAGGGGGCCTCCTCTGCAGACAGACCCGACACAGAGGCTCCGAGGAGGGGGGAGCTCAGCAGGAGAGACGGCTCATCTGACACCTGCAACAGATAGCCCAGTTAATGGGTCCTAACTTCTTCTAACGCTCTAAAAAAAAGAAAGGAACAACAAACTACATTTACAAAACCGTGATGGTGATATCAAAGTAAAAACTTGATGGCTAATTTATACCTTCACGACAAGGGTTTGTTCTTAAATGACGGGGTGACGGAGCACACTCTGGCAAAAACCGGACCATTTGTAAACTCAGATAGACTTGCCATTGATGTGCAGCTATTGTGTAAAAGTACATTTTTAGCCATACTATTTAATAAGACATTTAGCTAGCTAACTAGTATACATTTTCTCCAACTCCTTCCGTTAGCTTTAGCCAATTTTTTCTAACTAAAGTTTTTTATTTACATGTTCGTTAATTGATATTTAACAACGCTCTCATTACGTGCAGAGCGTGAAATTGGAAGAGTAACATAATCTTGCATATTAGCACTTTAAATGATGTAACTCAAAAACATATCACAGCAGGAGTACAAATAGTTGTGGATAGTTTGTACAGTAGATGTGAAAAAAGTTAAGTGTTGGGTAATATAGCTAAGGATCCTAAATAATGGAGTAACAGTGGAAAGTAAAACATCATGAAAGATTGTGTGTAACACTTCAAAGACATGGTTTAAAGTTTCTCAGCCAATCTAAGATCCCTGGGGAGGAGAAAGAGACCGCCAGCAGCATAAATAAGTTTCATTACTGCATGATCTTCACCCTTCCAGAAGACACTCCATGTGATAAAGGCTTAAACCTGCTTCATTCATTCAATGCTACGTTAGCAAGTGATATGATTTATTCTGACATTTTCCCCAAATAACTTGTGTCTGGATGAATGCTGATGAGGGGGACTGGCAAACATGTTTAAAAGTGTTATGATCAATGCTATATCTATTATGTCAAGCTGCTTAAATAAATAATAAATAAAGAAGGAATTGTTTTTCACACCAAATGAAGATGAATGAAGACACAGTGGTTTGTTTAGCGAGGCTGCTGTTGATTGATGATCTTGTATTTCTGCCTGCTCGTGTGATACATTTCCATTTGAATTACAGGTGAAGTGCTTGTGATGTAGAGAGGCTGACACACAGGGGTGGAAGTTACATTACTCTTGTTATTGTAATAATGTAGTGTTTTTGTAAAGGCTAAACTTCTCAGACTATTTTTAAATATCATGAGGGTGATTTTTGCTTTTACAAATTAAATTAACTAGTAGTCTAACTATGTCCCTAAGCATCTCCATTACTTCCTGTCTGAGATATTGCAGGGACAGACGTAGGTCAACTTTGACCACCAACACATTACTAGTGCATCCTTAAATCCAAGTGGAGATTTGTGCCAAATTTGACAAAAGATTCTCTACATGCGTTCCTGAGATAACACAGCCTGAAAAAACATTATGCCTCACCAGCCAGATGTTTTCATTCATACCAAACAGATGCATGTTTAATGCTAACAGGCTAAATGCTAAAAATGCGATTGTTGGATCTTCTTGGAAATTCCGTGTTTCTCAGAAGCTGTTTGACTGCCGTGAAGGTTTGCTCAGCTTGTTTCTTTGATAACTCTACATTCAGGTATAACATCTTGTATTTGGTTAAAATACTGTCGAAACAACCAAGATCTAAAAGTTGGTTTTAAAATAGTATAAAAAAATCAATTTATGACTTCTGTCTGGCAGACAACCACAACCAGACAATTATAGGGGACCAAATGGAAGGGAACGTACCTTGAATCAAAATACAGAATTCTCTGGTTTTGACAATTCTTGGAAACATTTAGCAGGGATTTTTCTAGAAAAATATAGTATAGAGAGCCTAAGTCCCTCCCTTTCCGGTGGTCCACCATGGGACCTTATTTCGGAAAAAATATGTATCGTAGTCAATGGAGAGAGAGAAATAATTTTTTTATCCCGTTTGAATTTTGCCATGAATTACACATTATAATGTTTGTCAATTACATTTTTTTATTTCCATGTCAGGAAAGTCACAGTTTGTCGTAAAACTGTTGAAATATAAGACTGAAAATACGCAACTAGAAAGACCACAAATCCAAGTGTAAGTGATGTCATAACTCGTTTAACACTCACCAAAACCTTGTACAGCCGGTCCCGCATGCTGGCTCGTACGGAACCGACTTACTTCCCCTTTGTGTAATAGCAGCTCTCAACATGCGTGTAATGATTTTCAATGATTTTCATTCTGAAAGAAAGAGGTGAAATGTGCCAAGGTGACGGCCATCTTGGTGTTGGTGATGTGTATTGTGCAAGACCAGAGATGTAGTTCATTGAGCGGTTTCACACAACAATAAGTGTTACTTCACAGTTTTCCGACAAACTTTTTTTGTCACATCATATGTGTAATTCATGGCACAATTCAAACAGGATCGAAAAATAATTTCCCTCTCGCCATTGACTACCGTAGGTATTTTTTCCAAAATAAGGTCCCATGGGACGAAAGTAGAAGGGCGGGACTTAGCCTCTCTATGAGGGCGCTAACGTCCCTTCCGGCCAAAATGACAGCCCCGCCCACTTTCCGGTGAAAAATAATGCATTAGAGCGAAGCGGATAATAATAGTTTCATAATTTCTTAAAGCTGCTGAGTCATATATTGCACCTCAAACAACAAACAAATCCTCCTTCTTTACTTCCTCTACAGAAAAAAGGACAGTCAAAGAAACGATCTAATTCAGAAATCACAGTTTCAGTGCAAGCCTGCTGCCTGCCACCCGTCCACCGGCAGACCGAACGGACATCGATCCCCTATTTATCCAGAGCTCCGTAAAAACAAAGCTGTCTATGTCGTCTGAAGGTCTATTTGACAAGATTTATTTCATATTCTTGGAGTAATTATTCAGTTTTTGACGAACAAAAATATTGTTTTCTGGCATTACTTTAAAATGTTATGGGGGAAATCTGCATTCTGGTATGAAGGCGCATGCCGAAAGTAAGAGGGCGTTTAGACAAAACCCTGTTTAGGGAAATGTAAACAACAAAATAAAAAAATAGCTCTTAGACATTTTACTCTTACCTATTAAACATTCAAATAGCGGGTTACTTTGATTGATGATGTACAACACACACATGACAAATCAGTCATATTGTACATGTTAGTCCCATCATGCTCAAGAAATCTCAAGAGTACAGTCATTACATCTAATTGTTAGAAGGGCTTACTAATGGGGATTTAATCAGTGGAATCAATACAGGTTGAATGGGCTGGCTGCTGTCCATTCGGGAATCATGACTCACACAATGATGGCAGGGCAAGGCTTAGCCGTCTTATACCTGAGATGGGAGATCAATATGGTGGAGTCTTTTGTCCTTAATGCCTAAATGTGAAGGACACTTGACCTTCAAATCACACACAAGGGAGGGAGAAATCGTGACTTCAGACATGAAATACTGCTGTTTGAGTTGCAGGGTTGCATTCACTATTAGAGCAAATGTTCTCGGGCTCACATATAACTCGATGTAATATCCATTTAATATAAACCAATTAGCTCCTCGCCAGCACAACACTATAAAGCTGAGAGTGCCACAGAGGCGCAGCTGGAAAATGAGCTGACAAATATTAGAGAGCATTGCACCGCTTGTTCAACAGGATTAATGGAGCGAAGCTTGAAAGCCACGCTATGTTTTCATTAATAAACCATACGATCACATGAATAATGAAGAGCTTGTTCGAGTGTTTTTTCACAAACAAGCCTTAAAGGGATAGTGGAAATGGAACCTCAAATAGTTTCGTTTTAACTTATATACAAGCATAATTACGTACCAAAACAATCACACCTGATTAAAAAAATATAATAATTGCCTTACGCATGTTAGAAGCACTTTATTGCAGCTTCCCCGAAGTTTTTTAGAAACGAAATGTTCGACTCAGCCAAACCGGAAGTGACGAAAACTTAGGAAGACGATAACAAACCATGGCGTCTATGCAGAATGAACGTGGAAGGGCAAATATACCAGACAAAGAAGAAGGATTGTACGAGGTATCCAGTGATGATAGCGAGTCAGAAACATCCTCTCGGCTTTCCTACGAAAATGTCGTTTTAGGAACTGAATCTGAATCCGGTTCAGTAAGCGACGATGGTGACAATATTGAGCCAGACGATGGACCATTACGTCCATATTTGTTCGAGCCCGAGCCCGAGGTGATGGTTCACGGCATGGGCAATGGCGAGGATGACCAGGACCAGGCACCAGATGATGCACCCCTACGCACAAATAATCTTGACTGGTAGGTCCCTAAGCATAGCTCACGCATCTTAAGATCACCTGTAGCCTTTACAAATATTAATCATTGTTAACCAGTTAAGGCCGAAGGTCCCCCCAGTGGACCCCTCCCACAGTTTTTTCTCTCTCACATGTCTCAGGGCTTCTTAACATTTATGAAACTATTAATGTTTCATACCCTTTTAAAGGTAAGAAACTCCGCTAACTGACAATAAGAACAATTGTTAGCTAGAAAAAACACAAGAGAATACCAAGCCTTTGAATTAGCATTGAGCGAAACAATGCTAACTAATGCTAACGCTTTTTTACACACAACACACGGTAGAAATGCCCTTATTACTATCTTAACTGCACAAACAAGATATACGATTTAAAGCTGAGACTCCACAGATTCCACACATGTAATGTCATCACTGTAAGACCTCGAATTCCTGGAGCTATCAGCCAGAAAAGAGAAAGTAAACAACATCCGGTTCCAAAAATATTACAATAATTACGTCTTACCTTTTTTGATTTGTGATCAAAAGTTGTGTTCAACGGAATAAAAACGCATCTCAAGGTTAATCCAATGTCGTTGTGTCACGTAGAATTTTTCTGTCGCACTACAGCCATACAAAACACATCTATTCACCATAATAAAGGTCGGCTATTCACATGCAAATGCTATTGAATGTCCGCCATTGTTTGTGCCCGTCTTCCTATGCTCTGGACCCGAAGATTCCCGACGATTCCCGAAGTATTTCGTTTCATTGAGAGGGCGCAGTAAAATTGAAAATAAAATGAAACTAGGCGCATGAAATTAAAAAAAATTGTTTATTATGCTTCTTTTTAATAAAAATACATAAGTTAAACCCAAAATTCGCGGATTTCCACTATCCCTTTAAAGACGCCGTTGGCTCACTCCCATCATCATCAGTGCCATTTTCTGATCTTCACACGGCTCCTTATGAGGCCAACATGTCCACACTTTCTCTGTGAGCCTGGCAGAATATTCATGTTAATGCAACAGGGAAAAGGAGATTGATCTTATCAGTTGTTTGTGTCATACTGTATAGGGGAAGCAGTTCAGTAGCAAGACCTTAGGAATTGAATTTAGCAAACGAAATAAGCAATTGGTCAATTAATTGAGTAGGCGATCGACAGAAATAGATAGACATTTAGAGGGATTCAGCAGTTATCCTGACTTTCAGTGACTAGAAAGGGCCAAACTCCAAATTAAACTGGATCGTACATTTCCCATAACCCCCAACCTAATAAGCGTCTTTCATTAGACCCTCTTTAACCCTTACCCTTTAACTATTAGTTTATGTACAGCTCATGGTTTCTGCTAATCTAACATTAGCGCTCAACCTGCCAATGCAGTTTGTTGCCTCTCAAATATGTTTTGTTTTTAGTCTTCTATGAACATTTATATAAGATTTATGGCATTTTGACTGTAGGTCGAACAAAACAAGTAATTTGTAAAGAGCCTTTTTCACTATCCTCCTACTCTTTCTTAATTTCTATATTGTAAAAAAGAAAAATAATCGTTTGATTGTGAAAAAGATAGCAGGCATTTCATTCCACTGTACACTTTAATTTAAGATTTTGTATAATATTATTATATTTTCCATGTACATAGTCTACTTACTTATTTACGCCAGCAAGAACACTGTAGCTATTAGATATTAGATAATAAAGTGTTTGTATTGAATCAGGTTAATAATAATAATTGTTGATGTGAATGTGTGGGTGGCCGTGCTACACGTTAGCTGTTGTTTCACAGAGAGTGGAACCATATGAGCAGATGACACATTGCAGGCTTGTCTTCCCCTCTGCAGGTTTTACATGACCTCCGTGTTTCTAATGGAGTGATAAATTGCGGGGCTTTGTATGACATGATCAAGGACTTCTGCACTTTACCTTCCCATCATTACTGAGGGCCTCGTCCTTTTTGCTCTTCTCCAGGTCTGACGAGGAGACACATTCAATGCTCTCCTCTGTAGTGGCTTCAAGGTCGGTCTCCTCCGACAATGCAAACCTCTTCTTTGCTGCAGAGAGACCAGATACATATAAAGGAGACGCTTTAATGCAGTTTTGAGCTTTATAGTTTGCAATATATCTAGCGGCAATGACAGCAGCAGGAGCAGCAGCAGCAGCAGGCGAAGAGCTGGCAGAAGCCCACACACAAGCAAGGGCTTTGATCAATGGCTGGCCAGATTTACTAAAACACATCTGCAGCCAGAGTGGATGCTGATCAGTGGTGGATAATGACATATTTTCTCCAAGAGGTATGGGGAGGAGGAGGATAGCGAGGAAGAGAAGGCCTGGAGTGTATGAGGAGTAGAAAGGAGATTGAGTTTCTGTGTGGGACAGAAAGAGAACGACGGAAAAGTATTTGTTGTTGCAATTTTGTGTGCATGTGAGTCACCTGGCAACGCCTCCGACTCCTCCGCCTTGCCCTCCTCATCCTCCTGGTCATCGCTTTTCTGCTGCTGGGTCAGCTGGTGACACACATCGAACGCCTGACCCACGGTGCGCACGATCCTCATGGCCTGGGACTGGAAGGGAGGACACAGTGAGATAGTGTGTGTGTGTTGAGAGCAGAGACGGGTTAAGCAGCTGTGAGGCACAGTAAGGATAGAATCAGAAATGAGAGGGCCCAGTAGGGGGGGGGGGGAATGAGGTGCCAGAAGAGTTGCACAGGAAGTGGTTAGAATGAACATGTGTGTGTTGGAGCACACGTAAATAGAAAGAAGATGAGAAATAGAAGAAGGATGAAAATGGGAGCAAGTGGAAATGAAGGCATGGGGAATCATGAGGGGAGATAGAGACCAATTTAAAGTCAGAAGATATCACAGAGCTTCACCTGCCCGTCCTTGTCTATCTGCTCTGCACACATTCACCTGTCATAGCGAAGGATTGGTCGATTTCAGAGGTAAGTAGACTTGAATGCATAGGAAGTAAAATAAAGTGTTTAGTTATTTCAGGAGGCTCAGTATGTGAGTCAGTCTTCAGGTCAATAAAAAGGAAAAGTTTAATTTACAGTAACTCAAAAATTAGCAAACTGTTCTTTTAAAGGGGACATATTATTCTTGATTTTAGGTGATATAGTATTTTGGGTTTCTACTTTATATTGTTTATATGCTTTATTTATATATATATATTATATTCTTGTTGTACTTACTTGGTTGTACATTTTTTATGTTTATATTTTAAGGTTAACGTTTTTTATTGTATAATGCATTTTTAAATATTGTTCAAAAATGTTTTATATTTGTTCCTTTGTCTCTCTGTTAACAATTTCATTCCTCTATTGTTTTTATGTTTGCCCCATTATACAAATTCCTTGTATGTGTAAACCTACTTGGCGATACACCTGTTTCTGACAAAACTTCTCATTTATAATAACTCAAAAATTAGCAAACTGTTTCTTTAAAGGGGACATATCGTGCTTATTTTCAGGTTCATGTAGTCTTTTGGGTTTCTACTACAACATGTTTATATGCTTTATTTAAAAAAGAATGTGTTTCATATTGTCGGTCTGAATATACCTGTATTCACCTTTTGCCTGAAACGCTTAGTTTTAGCGGCTGTTTCTTTAAGACCCCAGACTGAAAAAGAACAATCTTGTGTTTATTTCTTTAGGAAGCACTTTAGGTAGTTCCATGGATGCAGAGGGAAAATTACTCCGGATTTGTAGTTAGGCATTTCCTAACTTTTTGTCACGATCTGTCTTTGTGGTGTTTTGTCTTGTCTAGATCTGTTTTTGGTTTTCTGTCTGCATTGTGTCTTGTCTGGATCTGTCTTTGGTTTCTGTCTGCGTTGTGTTTTGTCTTGTTTGGATCTGTCTGTGGTTCCCTGTCGTTAGTTTCCCTGGTGTGTCTGATTACCCGATTGTGTTCACCTGTGGCCCCTGTGTTTTCTCCTCCCTCCTCACCTGTGTCTTGTTTGTGTGATTAGTCTTGTGTGTATTTAAGTTCTGGTTTTTCTGTCTGTCTTTGTCGGTTCGTCTTTTGTTGTTGACTGTGTTCACCGGTGAGTGTTCTGTCTGTCCAAGTTCTATTCGTTATCCTTGAAATAAAGGTATAATCAGTTCAATCTGCATTTGGGTCCAGCTTCCTTCGCTCTACCGTGACAGAACGAACCGACCACAAAATGGACCCAGCAGATGATCCATGGGAGGTTCAATTACAGCATTTAACTTTCTATCTGGCTTGCTGCTTCGATTGGTGGCAGGGAGCGTCCAGTGTTCGGCAGAAGAGGGCCGCTCTGGTAGAGGCGCTCCGGTTGGCAGCAGAGAAACCATGTTTTGTTGAGTTTTTACCTGACTGGATTTTGGACTTCCTTCAAGCATGTGATTCCAGGCATGCTAGCTCCCTGTCTCCCAATTCCCAACCTGGCACCATACGCCTTGGTGGGTTCCGCCTGAAGTCTACCCGTGCTTCTGCCCCAGTTCCTGCTTCTGTCCAGGAGTCGTATTCCGGAACTCGTCAGGCTTATGGAGGTCCATGGAGCATTCAGGAGGCTGCTAAGAGGAGTCGTCGCAAGGCCAGGCTAGCAGCCCGAGCCCCAGCAGCCATGGTTCCGGCTCCAGTACAGGCCCCAACAGCCATGGTTCCGGCTCCAGTGCCGGACCCAGCAGCCATGGGTCCGTGCTCCAGTACCATCCCACATAGCCATGGTACCGTGCTCCAGTACCACCCCACACAGCCATGGATCCGTGTTCCGGTTCCTTGCCCAGCAGCCATGGTTCCGGCTTCAGTGCCGGCCCCAGCAGCCATGTTTCCGGCTCCAAAACTGACCCACACAGCCATGATCCAGGCTTCAGCTCCGGACCTTACAGCCATGTTTCCGGCTCCAGAACTGGATCTTACAACCGTGGTCCCTGCACCAGAGCTGGCCCATACAGCCATGGTTCCGGCCCCAGTTCCAGCCATGATTCCGGCTCCAGTACCGGGCCCAGCAGCCATGGTTCCGGCCCCAGTTCCAGCCATGGTTCCGGCTCAAGTACCGGCTCCAGCAGTCATGGTCCCGACTCCAGCACCTCGTCTCCTGCTGGCTCCCCAGCCGACGCCAGCTCCCCGAGTCTTGTCGGCGTACCGGCCGACTCCAGCACCTCGTCTCCTGCTGGCTCCCCAGCCGACGCCAGCTCCCCGTGTCCTGTTGGCGTACCAACCGACACAAGTCCCCTCTCAAGTCCCCTCGCAAGTTCCTACCCGAGTTCCCTCTCAAGTTCCTACCCGAGTCCCCTCTCCAGTTACTACTCGGGTCCCCTCTCGAGTCCCCTCTCGAGTCCCCTTTCGAGTCCCCTCTCGAGTCCCCTCTCGAGTCCCCTCTCCAGTTCCCTCTCCAGTTTCCTCTCAGGTCCCCTCTCGAATCCCTTCTCGAGTCCCCTCTCTAGTCACCTCTCAAGTTCCTACCCGAGTCCCCTCTCGAGTCCCCTCTCGAGTTCCCTCTCGAGTTCCCTCCTCTAGTCCCTCCTTTAGTCCCCTCTCTAGTCCCTCCTCTAGTTCCCCTCGCGAGTCCCCTCTCGAGTTCCCTTCTCTAGTCCCTCCTCCAGTTCCCTCCTTTAGTCCCTCTCTAGTCCCATCTCTGGTCCCCTCTCTAGTCCTTTCTCAAGTCCTTTCAACCCCTTGTCCTGTCCCGTTGGAGTTCCCGCCGTCTACTCTCCTGCCGGGGGTCCTGCCAGCTCCTTGTCCTGTCTCGTTGGAGGCCCCGCCGACTACTCTCCTGCCGGGGGTCCTGCCAACCCTATGTCCTGTGCCGTTGGAGGTCCCGCCGTCTACTCTCCTGCCAACCCCTTGTCCTGTCCCGTTGGAGGTCTCGCCGTCTACTCTCCTGCCGGGGGTCCTGCCAACCCTTTGTCCTGTCCCGTTGGAGGTCCCGCCGTCTACTCTCCTGCCGGGGGTCCTGCCAACCCCTTGTCCTGTTCCGTTGGAGGCCCCGCCATCCTCTGTCTCGCCGGGGGTCCTGCCAATCCCGTGTCCTGGTCCTCTTCCGTGGGGGATCCTGCCGAGGCCTGTCCCACCAGCTCCGGTTCCTGTCCGGCCGACACAGGGTCCTGCCCGGCCTCCGGCGCTGGCCCGTCAGCGCCTTCCTGCCCGGCCTCCGGAGCTCTCTGGTCTTCGCCCTCGAGCCCGGCCCCCTGAGAGCCGCGGTCTTCGCCCTCGATCCCGGCCCTCTGTGAGCCGTGGTCTTCGCCCTCGAGCCCGGCCCCCTGAGAGCCGCGGTCTTCGCCCTCGATCCCGGCCCTCTGTGAGCCGTGGTCTTCGCCCGCGAGCCCGGCCCCCTGACTCTTCCTGCCGCTGCCCTCGTCCTCGAGCCCGGCCCCCTGACTCTTCCTGCCGCTGCCTTCGCCCTCATGCTCGGCCGCCCGAGTCCCCCACCTTAGACTCTGCCTTGCCCCCGGGCCGTCCGCCCGAATCCCCCTTTTTGAACTCTGCCTTGCCCCCGGGCCGTCCGCCCGAGATCCCTTCCTGGTCCTCTGCTGTGCCTCTGGGCGGTCAGCTCTGTCCCGTCCTCCTGACCCCCTCCACCCACCCTGGTGGCCTAGTGATACGTCCCTCCTCCGGACCCCCTCCACCCACCCTGCTTGAGGTTTTGGACTTTTGTGTTCTTTTTTTGGGACGTCTGGGATCCGTCCCTTGAGGGGGGGGTACTGTCACGATCTGTCTTTGTGGTGTTTTGTCTTGTCTAGATCTGTTTTTGGTAATCAGTTCAATCTGCATTTGGGTCCAGCTTCCTTCGCTCTACCGTGACACTTTTAGCACCAAAGGACTTCTCAAGAGTCCTTACTGGGTCATTAAATTCGCAAAGAAAATAGGAAAAGATCTGCTGATTTACATACATCTCTTTTCAATGGAAGCCAATGGGAAGGAATCTTTCGAACATTTTCTATAAAGCCAGGCTCACTTATTGGGGGCTAGGGTATTCACGATATACAGTTTCTGATGTTTCTCTCCCAAGGCCAAACACAATAGTCTCTGACATCTGAGCCCAGCTGTGACGGAAATAAATCAAATCTCCTCCTATCAGCGGTTCCATCTCCTCCTACTTGAAGCACACATGCTTGGTGCACCCAGATAAGGCTCCATGGCCCCCGGGGCTGTAGTCAGGCACCACTTGCCGTGTCCCTGACGCTGTAGTGGGTGTTTGTTCGGCATTGGTGAAAATGTCTCCAAGCACTGAGTGTAAACAGCCCCTCTTCTTTTCTCTTCCCACCAGAATGATTAGTATTCAGGTTCACTAAGTCACTGTCAGTCTGGTATCCATGGTGAGGGTAATGGAGTCCACCTCACCTAACTGATGCTCTGTCTTTTACGTCAGCTCGATATGCCCATATGTGCACATTCATAAGCATTTAAGCACATGCATGTCTATCAGTCAGATTAATGCGGGGTCCAACAGGACAATACATCACCCAGACACAGCCACAATGTCATCATTAGCAGTTATGCGCACAGCACGGTGCTGAAAACAAAAAGGAATGATTGACTTGCTGTGTATACTAGAAGGATAAAGCTGGAGATCTTCTGCCCTTTCAACAAAATCCATGATAATACCAAAACCAACAATGTGTTTGTCCATCTCTTAATACTTCCCAACTTCCACGGCATGTCCTCTTCCTTCCCCCTGAATACGTACATTTTTAAAGGAATAGTTTGACATTTAAAATATTATTTCGATTTCTTGATGAGTTACAGGACAACATTTGACACCTTTATCGTTTCTGTACAGAAAGAAAAACGGGTTAGCTTAGCTTAGTACAAAGAATGGTAGCAGTGTGAGACCTGTAGCCTTTCCAAAATGTGACAAACCCTACTACAAGTATGCCCTTAGCTAACTAGTTATAATATAAAAGGGGCTATTGGCCACAGTCAGACCATAACTAGTAGAAAGACTCTGGGCCAGGGTTGCGTGCTCATGGCTCTCAACATGGCTCCATTAGCCAACTGCTGTCTGTCAGTCAGCAGGATTAGGGAATAACTAATGTTCTGATTTTTGTGACAGTTGGAGGAAGGGTGAAGCATGGGCTGAGGAAGAACCCATTACATTTTGGAGTGGCTCCAAATCACATGGAGGATTCACAATATGGGTTACTTTTTGTTAACATTGCCAGATTAGTGCAGTACTCATGGTGTAGGAATGATTGTGAAAAAATGAGTTGCTAAAGATTCAACTCGAAAAATAGATATCAATGGTATGTTTACAGGCTCAATGCAATTAATACCACATGTCATCTTTGTAGCGTCCATGTTGTTTCAACAGTACAATTTAAAGCTAATACAAAAAACGAAGTTAGAAGTCCTTATAATAAACAAACCAAAGTTTGAAGAACGCCAATGTTGTTACCAAAGCACAACTTAGATCTCATAAACAAGTTGGACTTTCAACTCTGAAAAAAATGTGAAAGAGGTTATTTGAACGCACCATTATCCATGGCGGAGTTGTCCTTGTGTTGCATAATGGATTAGAGTACATAATATATATCGGCTATAATGCAATACAAGTTGAATTTAGCTCCGCTAAAACCTTTTGACCATTGTCAAAGGTTTAGGATTGGAGGCAAATTATGAATTTGACAGAACGTGTCATAATGACCAATGTCAGTTCTTACATTACACTACATTGGCGTACGAAGCACCTCTACACCGTTGGCCATGCCTACGGAAGCAATTCAGGGTTCTGTATTTTGCTCAAGGACACTTTGACATCTTGGCTGCAAGACTAGGGAACGAACCACTGACCAGAGCCAAATCAAACCGGTTTAGACTTGTACACTGGACCACACCATCAAAGAAGAAATTGGCTAGAAACTCCATAAGCTTCAGCTACACAGACAAATACTCTAAGCATCAATTGATTGAACAGTTACACTTACTTTCCTCTTTGACTTGAACACATTGCAGCGGAAAATGTTGCTCTGTCCTTCTCTGGCAATATAACTGAAGATCTTCAAGTCTTGGGCGTCATGTGAGACATAGAAGATCCTGTTAAAAGCAAGATGACAGACAACATTTCAATGAGTTGGTTACAAATTGCTTAGTTTTTTTTATTCAATTTGAACACCTACCTGTAGATGGGATCCTGTGCCACCATGACTGTATTCTCATCCCATGACCACCCTTTTCGCTGTCCCAACACAAAAACACATTGACGGTTAAAAAACTAATATTTTCTAAAAAACGAAAAGGAGTAATTTAAAAGTCACAAGACTGACCTTCCTCTTTTTGCGCAAGATGACTTTGACATAATCAGTGGACACGACAATGTTGACCTTCTTTTTCTTTATATTCTTCAGTTTGAATTCATACTGCAAAGGAAAAACGACATTTAAATTAACATTCCAGTTTGGAATTGAATATTATACAAGGTGTGACACACAGGCCCGCTGAAGGTAAAGCCCATTACACAAGATAAAGGCTATATTGGAACAGAGGGGAAGGGAACATGCAGAGAGGAAGATATTTTTTGACAATCTTCTTCTTCTAGGAAATGTGAGATTGAGTAAACACTGTCAGATTCTTGTCCCTGGGAGCGGTTTAAGCTTTTAAAGGCAGCGTTCCCAGAGGGAGGCAGAATGTGTGGGACACTTTCATCCCTCTCCTTGATTAATGCTAGAGCGCAAACTCCTCTGCAAGCTCAGACTCAAACATGTAAGGGCCCAGTGATCTAAGAACCACATGGATTTTTGCTAAATAACGCGCCATGCTTTGAAAACACAGCGTCCGACATCAGATGATTAATTGATCAAGTGGAGTTCTGTGAAATGTGTCTGAAACGAACTGCCGCCCGCTCTGTATTGGATATTCTATGTCATCTTTCTTTGGTTTGTGTAAAAATAACAACCTGCTGCCGTCTTGGAACTCTCTTTTCATTCGTATATTGACATTTCAAAATAAAATGTCACAGAAAGTAAAGAAAAGGCGCAGAATTTGGTAATGTCGATAAGGACGATAATGAGAGGAAGTGAAATTCCAAAAAAATGAATAATTTTGATAACAAAATGTAAATTCAACCACTGATGTTTGTCAATATCTAGTAAGATACGGTAAGCTAAGGTAAGGGTATACAATGTAGGACATTATTCTCATTAAACAACAACTTTATTCTTGTTATATTCCTTTTCTTTTCTAAGTCCAGTGGTCTTTAAATGAATTTGTATACATTTTGAATCATGATGTGAATAGGTTCTATACTGCAGGGACAATTAAAGCAATACCTCCCCAAAAAATGACACCAACATTCACATAGGAGTGAATCATTTCGACGTGGTACTGGCAGGAAAGCATGAAATGTGAAAAATGCATCTACAGGAGAGTAATTGAAAATCATTTGAAAGTAATACAGAATGCCAGAGAGCCTTAATGCATTACATTCTCAGTCATTTATTTGTAATTATCTCCCAGCGCATGCATTTCTGTTTAGGTTTAACTAGAAAAAGACATTTGCGCCATGAAAATGTCCCTAAAATGCAGGAAATGTGAGTTTGACATTTCAACTGTTGACGTGTCTCCCCCAATATTGAAGCGAAACCTCTACGTCCTTGAGAAAAACGATTATCGTAACCGACAGGGCGCCTCATTAGAAGCTCCATTGGTCCCTTATTCCTCATTCGCCCTCATCTGGTTCATCCGTCTTATTGTTGTGTGGGAGGAATCCTCCGTTGTAGTTGCCCAGGTGAAGGACACGACTCCCACAATGTGTGTCGTCGCAGGCTAATGCAAACACATGCAAAGTGCGGACCATCCGTCTTTCTGCTGTCAGAGGGCGATGACGTGGAAAACAGAAGGTTCAAGGTTCTTTATTTTGTCATACGAACATAGCTACAGTGTAGTTATGCCGAAGAAAATCTTAGGTCACAGGCTTCTCCAAAAGTGCAACACAATAACACATAAAAACAGAAAAATATAGTGCAAGTATATAGAAATATAGTTTAAAAAAGTGAAATAGTGCAATAAGAGTCTTTATGCAAGTTATTTGAATGATATATTAGAGAAATAGATAAATAATTACTAAGTAGCAGATGAATGTTATGGATGTTGTTTCAACAGTTCAGGTGTTTAGCAGTCTTATTGCCTGTGGTATGAAACTGTCTCTGAATCTGGTGGTTTTAGTCCGGATGCTGCGAAAAAGGTGTTCATGTTACATTTTCATGCATCATCCTCAGTCCCCAATCACAACTAATGCTCTACAGGTAGTGACAACTCTCCTGTCATTCTCCCTCTAAGCTGCTGTGAGTTAGTTAGCTTTGAATGTTAGTTTGTCTCCCAAGAAGCAGAGAGTATTACTAGTTAATTCATTTAATTAGTGGTTTTTCTTTCCACATTTGTATCAAAAGCTTCTTTATGAGAAATTTGATAAAATCTGACATTTAGAAATCTTCGAGATTCCAATCCGGAAATCTGTTTTTGAGTCAGGAAATGAAGCATTATAGCTTCTCTAAATCTTTCCCGGTACAATCAAATGGCTATTACACTGCACTGTACACGAGGGATCAGGATTAAGTGCGTCCGGGTGTCACTGGGGTTGGGAGCGACCTCTGACCAACTCAATTACTCTAGTGTTGGATTAGATCCAACAGCTGACAAGCAGCTAAATCCCCTCCTCTGAAACATGATGTGTAATACGTGGCCTTGTCTGGCCTAAAAGAAGGGCTCGAGAGCTGTTGTTTTTTCCCTTGAACAGTATCACATATACACCTGCACGCTTTACTTCTCCTCAGACATAAAATCCCTGAGAATCCTGCCGTGATGTAAACCGCTCCTGACAGCCCACTGAATCTGCCGAGTGTGGAGTTTTATGCAGACTGGTAATTTGTGTGTAAAGAGGATGTTGAAGAGAGTAGGGAACACAAGGAGAGACATAAAACACAGGGGGAAAAAAGAGTTAATGTGTGTGCACCGGCATCAATCCTAATGTGTTGGGACTGCTTGACAAGGGTCAAGATCAGTGGCGGGGTTCAGAGTCACATATATTTCTCACTCTGATTCTCCTCATCGCAGCGACGATTTCCATCCGGCTGCCGGGGCGACCCACCTCCAGACTGCCGATGTACTGAAGAGTGTAAGAAAGAGGTTTTAGGATTGGTAGTTTGAAGGAATGAATGGCAGTGATTACAGGGGGGTGCTGGGCTGGCAGATTGGTGATGACCATTGTAGTTGACTGCTTGTTCATAATTCTCTTTAATAATCCTTAAGGCTGCAACTAGCTATTCATGTTATTGTTGAATATCCTATTGATAACTCTCTCGATGAATCACTGATTTGGTCAATAAAAAGTCAGAAAGATGGTGGAAAAACGTCAGTAAGTTTTCCGAAAAGAATGCATGTCTTCAAATGTCTTATTTTGTCAACAAATCAAAAGATATTCAGTTTACTGCAGCCCCAGTTCTCCAGTTATAGGTTTTTCAATACATAAAGGGAAATAAACAGTCAGTATACATCGATATACAAAGAAAGAACCACATCTCAATGCAAGCAAGGTAAAAAAGATGAAACAAATCTAAATTGGGCCCAACATTCAATCGATTAATCGAGAGAATAATTGTCAGACTAATAGTCAAAAAACAATAGATACACTTTATTTGCATCTCCAGTTGTGAACTTATGGATTTGTCTAAAAAAGGGGGGAATGAATAATGCCTCGGACATCAAGTCATCAGTTAAGGAAACACATCTCAATGCAAGCAAGGTAAAACATTATAAATATAATAATATTTTAATTTTTAAGATTAATCGACACAATAATTGTTAGACAAATGGTCATACAAACAATAAAATAAACTTTATTTGCAGCCCCAGTGCTGAACCTATGTAAATAAGTTAGTAAATAAAAAATAAAAATGTGTTTGTCTCAACATCTAATCGGTTAATCTAGAAAATAATCGACAGACTAATAACAAAAATAAAAAACTCATGGTTTTTCCCCCAAAATGAATCAGAGAAATAAATGATGTCAGCATACATCAAGCTATCAGCTATATCTCTATGCAGATATGGTGAATTAAAATCAATGGCAAACATTTTAAAGTCACACAAAGTGGATAAAATATCTCAAGTATTATTATAATGTACTTTTGAACACAGAATAAACCCATGGATGGAAATATCATTGTATCAGTATCAGTGGGATCATCTCAACGCTGCACACACACACACACACACACACACACACACACACACACACACACACACACACACACACACACACACACACACACACACACACACACACACACAAAGTATCTGTTGCAGATCTCCTTACCTTTGCCTCGAAGCACACCCCATGCTTGAACACCTCGTCGTTGTGCATGGGGATCCTCAAATCGTGCGCGTCATCCACTAAATTGTACTTGGTTACCCCTGGCATCGCTCTGATGATCGCTGCCTCGCCGCCGACTCCCGTTTTACGACAGCGCTAGAGCACCTGCAGATATGCGCATCTCCTCCGGCGCTGACTCCCCCCCGCACTGTCCCCTCCGTCACTCCGGAGGTCATCCGGGTGGATCGGCACGCAATTGGCACGTTTTTTTTAATTCAATTAAGGCGCTGATCGGTGATCGGTGGGCGCACTTAATGACCCCTTCACGGTCTGAGGCAGCACAGCAAACACACCGCCTCCGAGGTCCCTGTGACGCACGGATCTCACCACCTGATTGTTTTTTCTTCGAGGCACCGCGGCACCAAACTGGCACTAATTTATTATAGCGAGCGATTCATATTCAGCTGCAGCGCGCGCCTATTAGCCGGTGAACCGGGTGTGTGAGGACTAACAGATGAGTGTGCTTGTGAGGACTCTATCAGCACACACAGCTGCTGGGTGTTTGTGGGACATCTAGTGGCTTCACAGGGAACAACCCCAAACTGACTGCTGGGGGATTTACTCATTCACTCTAAAAATAAATCCTAAAAGTACAAGATGAAAAAGGATTATCGGCACTGTGATATCCTGGAATATTCCTCTATTTTTATAACTTCTTATATTACTCTGATTCATGACTGATGGTTGAAATGATTCACAATCTTGCTCCTCCTCCTTTTAGAACAGGGGTGCCAATATATTTGTTTCCATTAAGAGATAAAGCAGAAAGTGAATGGAGAGATATGTGCCACAGTGTGATCCTCCCTATTATTTTGTTACCTCACTTGTTCCAAACTCACTTCCTGCCCACAGTGTCACTCTGCTTGGATCAACACAAATAATAAATGATAAGGGATTGTACATATTGAAAAGCAGTAATACTTCAGATAAAGACAAATTGTATAAAAAGTGGTCTTTATCAGAAGCACTTTTTACAAATGTATTGGTTGCAGAAACATACAGTTGGCTAAATGTAACATGCCCGGCCAACTTCGCGCCACAGGCCCCACTTTGTGCTGCCCTGTCCTAAAAGATGCCCGGCCTTCCCAGTCGCATGCATTAGGATTTGAGTAACTAATTGGTAAAGTTCAGAAAGACAGCCTTAGGTCAGTTTGCTTTCTCAGTTAAAGTGTTTGGGAGGTGGAATTTCACGCCCACAAACATCCGAGTCTCAGGAAGCTGCGCAGTGTTTAAAACCGGCTTTGGCTAAAATCAGCATATTGCTCACCAGCAATGATGCTTTACTTGCCTCTCTGACCACAAACTCAAGGGTCCAATATGTCAGGGGGCCTCAGTTTGAAGTGACAGCTAACATGTTCTGCTTGTTGAAGTCACAAAGAGAAACAGAACTACTACAGGGACAAGAATATACCACCATAAAAAGCTAATCATAATTTTAAAAAAACAAGCAAAACAACACAAAACAACCAGGTTGATGCAACACAACCAAAAAGAAACACAAAGCGACGAGAAAGGTAGAGAATGCAACAACTACTGGAGACAAAACAACAAAAAGGGAAACAAAACAAACCAAAGGATGACTTAATATGAACTCTGCAGTGGATCAAATGGAGGTTTCTGGGCTAATAACAAAGAATGACAGAAGCACCGAGGCTCCTGTTATTATCTGTAACACACACACACACACACACACACACACACACACACACACACACACACACACACACACACACACACACACACACACACACACACACACACACACACACACACACACACACACACACACACACACACACACACACACACACACACACACACACACACACACACACACACAGCAGGTCACATTAAATGAAACTTGCCCTGAAGGCTAATTTTGCAATATAGATTTAAGATAAGACAATTAGTAGGATGTATTTTACTGTTGGGATTATACCCTAAAAGCTTTACAGTTATATTACAATATAACTCTGGACATGAATCTAATGCAAATTATTCAGCCAAAAACATTATGATATTTCACTGATTTATAAAGTGGGAACTTAAAGGTTTTATAAGAAAACAATATATTTGCAAACCATCCATCTGAGGTTTTCAAAGGAAAAGTTTGTTATTAATGAAAAATGCTCATTCTCTTTAAAGCCAAGAGTTAGAGCAGAATAAAAACACCACTCTCATGCTGTAGTTATTATGATGCTAAAGCCAAGAGATGCTTAGCTTAGCATACATTTCTGAAAGCACCCCTTGAGCTAAATTATTATCCACTTTTCTCTAAATACAACATTGACATTTTATTACACTTTAAAGCAGCTTAAGGACTTATTGAGATCTGTTATTGTTAATGTTACTCAATATTTGATCATTTTGTGGTGCTTAAAATGTTATAATCTGCACTTTATCATTTGAATACATTTTCGGTTACATTCACTTTTTTCAGCAAATCATGCTCAGTGTAGGCTATGATGCTGATACTGTGACTCAACAGCAAGGCTGGTGTTCTCTCTCCCACCACTCCACGCTTATTTGACTATAGTTTGCATTGGATAGCTTTTAATGCACAAGTAAGCCCAGTCTTTATTTAGTTAGCTTAGCTAATGGCCATTTCATGCAGAATATGAACCGGGTAGTATGGGAGAGAATTGACAGTATTGACACAAACCTCCTTGGACACATTATAGCTATGTGAGCATGTCAAATGTTTAATAGATCATGTATAGCCCCTGGCATGGTAGATGAACAATTCCCATCTGGCAACACTGACAAGGTAATCACAGTAATGAACCTGCAGCCTGCAGTTACAGCCTGATCCTGCAATTCCCCTTTATGGAGCTTTAGAGTCTAAGCTAATTCTTTAGCTGAAAATGTATTATTACAGTTTACTCTAACTGCTCTTACCGTAGTATTCAGCTGCAGCAGGAAGTTGTTTTCAGTGAAAGAGCCCTCGAAACCCAACTGGTGCCAACAGGGCACCAAACAGCAGAAAGACACAGGTAGAGACTAGCTGGGGGACACAGTGGAGCATTAGCAGCTAAAGGGACTTCATCAAATGTTTAAGCTCCAGATAACAAAAAAGAGTCAGTTATTGCACGTTTAAATGTACAATCAATCAATCAATCAATCAAACTGACTCTATCATCAATCAACCAATCAACTGATCATTTCATCAATCAGATTGTATTTATATTTCCCAATACCAAAGAAAAACGGGAAAAATGTCCCCCCTTAAAAAAACTATAAATGGGGTTACAAATGGAAGAAACCTCAGGGAGATTTGTATTCACTTATCCAGCAGATATGGAGCAACATTGGCATTCATTAGATGCCATGTTTGTTTCTACCTGATAAATAGGACTCTAATAAGCACTCTCCTTGGCCTCTGTCGAATCCTATAGCCACATATTTATCTCAACTTTGTTTGTCTGCTTTTGATGCTGAGCAGTAGAGTATTGTTGTTGTTGTTTGGAAAAGAGCTGCCTACTGGGGCTGGGAAAGAGGCTGAACAGAGCAGACCATTTGGACCAAAACAGTGAACTGAAACATGCTTTAACATTAATCGTGGGATACAGTCTTAGTAGCAAAAAATGCTAAAAGAGTGTCAACATGCAGCATTTTCTTTTATAACACTTAGCATGGACATTTCATTGTAACTTCATATTGTCTAAGTAGCTCACTATCCCAGTGTTTTTAACCCGTAGACTTTAGTGTTCCTTCAAATCTGCATTAAAAGCTACTACTTGGTTCACTCTCACCTGTCAGTAAAATACAATTGTGTTTCTGATCTGACCTCATTCCTGCTATTTGTCCAGCAGGTGTCAGCAGAGCTCTTCTCCTTTTACAGGTAGTAACGCTCACAACATCCAAAGACCCAGTAGAAGAGACAAAGTGAAACATCCAAGTGTATTCACTCACTGGCCACTTTATTAGGTAGACCTGTTCAACTGCCCGTCAAAGCAAATATCTAATCAGCCAATCATGGCAGCAGCTCAATGCATGTAGACATGGTCGAGACGACCTGGTGAAGTTCAAACAGCATCAGAATGGGGAAGAAGAGATTGAAGTGACTTTGAACGTGCCATGGTTGTTGGTGCCAGACGGACTGGTCTCAGTATTTCAGAAACTGCTGATCTGCTGGGATTGTCCATCCCTTTATGACCACATTGTACCCATCTTCTGATGGCTACTTCCAGCAGGATAACGTGCCATGTCACAATGTTCAAATGATCTCCAACTTTCTTGAACATGACAATGAGTTCAGTTCACTTGTACTCAAATGGCCTCCACAGTCTCCAGATCTCAATCCAAAGAGCACCTTTGGGATGTGGTGGCACTAGAGATTTGCATCATGGATGTTCAGCCAACAAATCTGCAGCAATTGATTGATGCTATCATGTCAATGAGTGTTTCCAGCACCTTGATGCGTCAATGCCACAAAGAATTAAGGCAGTTCTGAAGGCAAAAGGGGGTTCAACCCGGTACTAGCATGGTGTACCTTTTGAAATGGCCAGTGAGTTCATATTCACTGTGTTCCATTTTATTCTCTACAGTATGTGCTCCCTTTGTGCAGCTTGTCTGGTTGACCTGTGCAGGAACCACTTCATGTGATTGTTGCACTAAAGCAGGGGTGGGGAACCTTTTTCCTCTCAAGGGCCATTTCAATGTTTTCAACATCCTCCGAGGGCCGTACAAATGATTGACCTCTGCTTAAAAAAACTAAAATCACAGCCCACTCATTTCACCTTTCTTTCATGCTGTGCAAAGAAAAAGCAACCTCTTCCACGTGGACATGATTTAAGTGGGGGGGACCTAACCTCCTCTTGGGGGGTCCGGGGGCATGCTCCCGCTGGAAGATTTGTTTTTAAATGTTGAAGTTAAAAGCATCAATCTGCTGCACTTTGAGAGCAACATTAGGAGATCTATGGATACATCTCTCAACACCCAGATGAAACAGAACTGGAAGCAGATTTCTTTTTCTTTATGAATATTTTACAAATCACTCCCCTTTCAAACTGTATTCTTGTTTATTAATAACAACTTTTTTTTACTGTCATATAGTATTTTATACCCGTTTACTTTATTACAACTGCTAGGGGAAGACAGCTTTTAGATGCGCAGCTCCTCTGTCTTGGAATAGTCTGCAAATTAAATGGAAACTGAACAATCTGGTGCCACTAAATGTTTTTAAAGCTCGGTTGGATGCTACTCAATCGGAAGCTATTGGTACCTGTTTATGTGGATAATTATGTAAACGATGCTGTATGATGTCCTTTTGTTGTTCTAATTATGTTTTTATGTTTCATGAGGAACTACTTGAGCAGGTCTCCCTTGAAAAAGAGATCAATGATCTCAATGGGATTTATCTGTCTAAATAAAGGTTTGAAATGAAATGAAATGAATTCTCTTATTTTTTTTATAACTATAATGATCATATAAAG